AACAGGTCCTTTCAAAGGGCGATGGAGCTGTCACAAGGACATGGGTTTGGGAGCAGGCACCTGCTTTCGAGGCGGCTGTGAAAACTGAAAACTCCGGCTAAAAGGGCTTAGCAGGCATGAAAATTAGTCAGTTGTAGAAGGAGTTATTCTCCTTCGCCACACGCACAGCAAGGTGAAGCCACCCAACCCCGTCACACCAATGYCATCATCCTTCACGTCCCTGGTGTCATTCCTGTCACCTGTTTTGTGCACGTTCCCGCACTTCAGAGCCCAGCCTCAGCACTCACGACAACTCTCGTTGCCCAATTAACAGCCAAAACCTCTAAACCTGAGATCGAAATTACGGAAATTACGTAGAAAAATCTAAATTACGTCTAAATTATGGAAACCAATAGCCAATTCTGGTCCTCGTAACAGTGTTGCTGTGCACCTAGGCTATTTTTTATAAAATAACAAGACAAACAAAAACCCTACTGAGACCTGCAGTAAACAAATGACGTTCTTGCTACATTTTATTCCTCTTATTCCTTCCTTAATCTAAACACATAGTCATAAGAGCACGATATTTGCTATGAGGAAATGAGCTGTCAAGTGATTTACAGTCGTGCTCGGTCCCCATTTCCACAGCTCTAAGTTTTCTATGCCACCTATTTTTAGCAAGCTGTAAATTAGCAGCAATGAGGAACAGGGCGGGAGCAAGGATTTAAGAAGTTTAGAGAGCAAATTTATCTATTCACCTGTTTTCCAGGTACACCTTGGGTCGCGTTCCTAGGTACCGCAGGCATGGTTATGGTCACCATAAAATAGCAAATGGGAAGGACAGTGGTTACCTTTTTTCTATTTTATTCCAGGCAAAATTATTGCACCCCATGGAGATGGGGCCCTCCAACAAAAACTATGGTCCTGCATACTTTCTGTAGGGTAGATTATTTATTTATTTTTATTTCCCCTGCCTYTTCTCCAAGCGATTGCAGTAATGATTCTAACTCCCATATAGCATTTTCTATAGCATTTTCTGTACAAGAGCTTTAAGAGCTGGGACAATGGAAAGTCATTATCGAAGCCTTAACAAAAGCACATTATTGCCAGCATCCTTATTTGCAAGAAGGAGGCCCAGGAAGATCAAATGAATGGCTGATGATTGTGCAGCAACTCGCCGCTAAAGTCAGGAATGGAACTGTCATCTCCTTGACCCTCCATCCGCTGCTTCCTTGGACAGAGAAATAAGATCCTTGAAGCACATGTGAAAACGAATAGGCTTATTTTAATGGTGCTGAAAAAATGATTTTTTTTTCATTGCAATAATGAGGAATTGGCTATACAAGGAGGAGGAATGCAGTTTTCAACCTCTATTTCCATTCGCAAAGCAGGCAGGTGCCCCATTCCCACGTGGGCTTCCTTATTCTGGGCCGTGTGGGACATCACATTTAAGTTTATACCTCCTTCCTCTCTCATCTTGGCTTTTTTGGCTCCCCACCTATGAAAACTTAAATGCCCCAAACCAACTGAGAATTTCAAATATTCTGGCCAGCATGATTTGCTCAGAAGTACTGAACACACACTGGGACGCCACAAAGCTTTGCCCTTACCAAAGTATTTTATGAGAATTTWTTTAGGAGAGAGAACAGACCTTAATCAGCAGAAGGACCGTGAAGAAACAGAATATTTATATGGAGCTGTGTCCTGTTACCAAACACGACGAAATCCTCCAAGGAGGCTATTAAGGAGATTGCCCATCGGAAAGGAAATTCAGCAAACCAGATTATCTGTAACAGGCTTATCCACTGGAAAAAAAAAAAACATCAGAGCAACGAAGAGATGGTTTTGAAAGACAATTAATGAATGGTAGGGGAGAGGGGAAGTTGTAACAGAGAACTAATAGAGTGAGAATCCATAAAATACAGATTGTCATGGCTGATCAGACGTAGGGACGTTATATGACCCATCATGTTGCTGGAGAAGGATGCAAAGCTGCTCACAGCACCTTGCTCCTGTGATCTTCCAGCAGCATAACTGCTTTTAGCCCTTTTTTTTTTTTTTAATATTAGAAGAATTCCCATGGTAGTTTGGCTGATAGCTGTTAGGTTTAAATTTATTAAATGAACTGGATCGAGAGGCAGCTTTGGCCAGCAGCTACGGCTCTGTCCTTGCAGCACAGCTCTGCTCCGTATCCCTGGCCATGTCCGAGAGCAGGAACATCCCCTTCAGCAGTAAATCTCCAATCTCCTACCAGTTGTAGGAATAAAGCTGGAAAAGAAGGGCTGGGCTTGGGAAGCAGGAGATCTAGGGACACTTTTCTCGCTGCTGCCCATCCTGGTGGTCTTTCTGTGTCCTCCATAACCACCTTCTTGGGGCTACTCCAGCACATTCCTTGGCTTCAGTGTTGGATGCCGCCTGGACAAGTGGAGACACACAGAGGTTAAGGGATTTGCCTGAGCTAAGGACATAGATATCCATCCCCTGGTTTCACCAGGCTTTGTACCRGATTCCTGCACAAAGAGCTGTGCTCAGGAGCGATCAGGGAGGTTAATTCATTAGCACTTTTTAAGTTCTTTTAGATCCCTGAATGCAAGAGGCCACCAAAGAGAAGAGTCGCTTCATTAATGATAACCATGCAAAAAGGGCAAGTTGAATTCTTCGGTCTCAAGCCTTATGGCACGAATGGGTTTGCAATATAAAGACACCAGCATATTCCCAAGGGGTCTGAAAACTTCCTTCCAACGACCTCTACTAGATACAAATGTTTGAAGATCCCCTCTTACTCAGYGCCTGGAAGTTTCACATCTCCATGCAGCAGGGTGGACCCGAGCCCACCCTGGGAAAGCAAGCTGCAGCCATGGAAAGGCCCTCGCTGGCATCTCTTCTCTCTGCAAAACATGCCCAGGACTCCCCAAGCACCGGCAGCAGGCGCCAGAAGACGGTCCCTGTGCTCCTCTCTCCTGTCACTGGTGGAATAGGCTTCATCCTGTTTCCTTTGGCCCGCGATCAAGCAGGCTCCTCGCAGGAATTTTCCGTTATCCGGTGGCAAAGACACCAGGGCAATCCAGTTATTTAACTGACTTACACTCTGACCCCTCTCCAGCGGCGGCGAGAGCAGGCATAAAGCACCGGCTAGTTCTCGTAAAACACCCCAATTCCAAGAAACACTGTGGTCCCGGGGGAAGAGACGGCTCCAGTTCACAGGCAGCCTCCTCCAGCCCGCAGACTGGATCAGACTGGACCTCCACYATCGTGATACAAACCCATAACTTACCCACAGCTACTTCCATGCCACATGGGTTTGCTTGGGAAAATCATATATGTTCCTTACATACCAGCACGTGCCTCTGTCCTCCATCCCGGGACTGTTCCTACCCTGGCCAAGGCCAGCGGCAGATGGATCCCAGGCTTGCTTGTCCCTGGGGCCATCTGCTAAGCCAGGGAGGGGAAAACAAAACAGAGCCACCGAGGGGGACTGTAGCTTGTCTGCTAGCAATGGCCAAGTGACAAAAAAATTCGTTTTCCTTCCTCTTCCCAGAGATTTGGTGCTGAATAATGCGATGGCTCAGCTCCAACTCAATAATCTCTCCTAGCAGCATCTCGGAGAAGACGGGAGACTGGGGCTCCAAACACGCGGGCTTAATTAAGTCGCAGGAACGAATCTTCAAGTAGCTTCGGTATYGCAGCTTAGACATTTAGTTTAAAGCAGTATTATCTGATTGATATAAACAGGAATTAAAAGAGAAAGGAAGAGGCGTTCCTCAGGAATTTGCAGCTTTCTCTTTTTGCTCCTCTGGAAGAAGGATGCCAAAGATATGACATCTGGGAGCCAAGTTAAATATCTTGGACAACTTATATTTGCTGCKAGTTTGCTGACATTGGGAAGCATAATTAATCAGTACTTCCCAGAGCTGGCAAAACAATTCAGTGAATTACCAGGACACCACCACTTCAGGAATAAGATCAAAAACATGGAGCTTCTCCACAAAACAAGGAGAATCCAAGGCACTCTGTCTTCCCTTCCTACTTTCCTGCTTGGGATTTCCCTTTCAAGTGCCCAACTTCCCAGTGTTTCAGGGGAGCTCTGAGCTCGTGAGGTCTTGGATTTTGATGCAAGCGATGCTAGGTCCACAGAGCAAGAAAAAAAGAGCCACAATAACCAACGGCAAAATTATGCAGCCATAAATAAAAGAAACGCCAAGTACCTTGTGCCGGGGAGGTGGCCTAATAGGAACTGAGCGGCAGCCTTTGATCTTGGAAATAACATCCTCCTCCTGACCACGAGGAGCCACAAGGAGCCAGTGCAGAAATCCCTCACTACACAACAACTCCTTAACAAGGCACACATGGTCTCAGCACGGGGACCACAGGGCTGCACTGATCCACCGGTGTTCACGCGCTCCTCGAAAACTGGTGCTGGGCTCAACTCTACCGAGAACTAGGAATACAAGGTTTTTAGCAAAAGCTAAATGGTCGCAACGGGCATCGTCCACAGCTGCTTCTGCTGCGTTGTCCTCCACAGGCACGAGGCCCAGGGTACTTTTATTAAAATAAGGTGTTTGGGTCTCTTGACTGACCCCACTGATCCTGCAGCAGGTGCCGATGGCCCCTCCGCTGCTCTGTCCCAGCTGGGCGCCGCTCCGGGAGCTGCAACCAGCCTCGCAGGACAGACCTGGAGGACGAGTCCCCAAGCGCAGCCGAGCGGCGGCTCCCTCCGCAACCTGCCCTCCGGAGCTACCTCTCCCTCCCTGCACAACCGGTCGGGACACGAGCTGCTGGAGGGCTGAGCCGGGTCGTGACGCAGCCCGGCGTGGGCAGCTCGCCAGGGCGCGAGCGCTTCGCAGTCGCCTCCCGCGACCGCCCGCACAGCTTGTTTCACCTCCAAAGACGGCGGCGTTTATCAGCAGCCCAGCGCTGATAAGGCCCTTGCTGCTTCTTGTCGGCTGGTGGGAGCATCCTTGCAGCCGGGGCCGGCGGCGTTTCCATGCGGGAACAGTTCGGGTCTCTGGGTGAYGGGTTGCAACGAGGTCTCTGACCTCGACGTTTGCAACAGTCCATGAGGAAATGCCAAAGGCCAGCAGATCAGTCCTGGACAGATAGGATTTTTCGCTGTACCGTCTATCTGTGCTGCCTTTTTGACCATAAAAATAATTTAAAACATATATTTTTTCCATTAATTCATCAAAAGTATCTCCCCTTCCCTGCTCCCCATCATTTATAAGAGGTGAAATAACTCACAGAGCAAGTCCGGGCTTGCCTGGACGATCGGGCAGGAAGGAAATCATCTGCCAGAAGCAGATTCCGACACGTCGGAGCAACGCGATGAAGCAGAGCGAGAAGCTGCCCTGCACCCGGGGAAGAACCCGTCAGGCTCCGCTTCCTGCCGCCTTCCCGGCGGGACCCGCAGCTCGAACGCAGGAGCGATGGATGCCTGGAAAATTTCGCAGCAACTCCCCTATTTCTGGTTACAAACCCAAACACAACCCACACATTTCCATGGCTTTATCCTCTCTTTGAATAGTTTATGTAAAGTTCTGTCTGCAATGTTTTATTTTCCTTCCCATTTTTACGCCTTTTTAAAGCAGCCAATGCTGGAAACTTTTGGCAATGTTATTCACCATTTTAATGCCATTCTCCTAATGCCATRCACTGATTTACGATGAGATCAGAGCCAATCGGTTAATCAGGGATAAACCCAGCGTGCTATTGAGGGTTATAGTTTTTATTAGTCTTTCTTGTTGGTCTAATTAATGGTATTACCCTCTGAACTATGTACACACACTTAAAGAAATTCAAGATACGCAGAAAACATGCCCCAGGGGAACCAGGGAAGGTTTAATAATTTCCTACCCGTTATCTCGGGCACCACCTCCAGCTCATGTCATCCATTTGCATCCAGCTACATCGAAGCCTTCTTCATCCAGCTACTTTGACATGCTGATTTTAAGAAGAAAAAGGAATAAAATGGAGTGCGTTGTTCCTGATTTTCCACTCATGCACCTCATTGGATTGGTCCAAAGCTATCGTTGCTCGTTGGCTAGTCCAAGGCGAGGAGAAATGCAGCATCACGTTCCTGCAATGCGAGTCTTTCCCAGTACATCCAGCAACGAGAAGGAACTTTGCGAAGGAGAGGAACCACGCCAAAGCGTGGCTAAGAAAACAGCCCTCATTTGGAGTCTTTACGGATGGTTGCAAGTTGGAAGAAGCTGCAGGGATCACAGTAAATCCTCAAAGCTCTGAGATGATTTCCCTTCTCCGCGAGAAGCTGAAAGCGCAGCTGCTTCCAAGCAGGAGGATGCTGGAGAGAAGACACTGATCTCTTGGGAAACATCTGGGGGGTGTCCATGGGAAAYGCCTGGGGAGTGGGGTCCAGCATTGCTTTCCCACAGTGGATGTTATGGAAACGCCTCCCAAAGCCCCCTCTGGCTTCRGCCAGAGGTTGTACCTCTCACCAGCACCTCTCAGGCTGCAGCCCTTCAAACCTCTGCTCCCGGAGAAGATCTCCGGCAAGGAGGGAGGTTTCCCAACAAGGACAAGCAGCACAGGCAGGTTTAAATGCCCAGGCTTCATGCTGGTGCTGCCAACCTTCGCAGTACAGTGGCTTGCAACAGGGCTTCCTTATCCACCAGCGCAGAAACGAGGAGTTCTGCATCACAAGGAGATGAAGCTCTGCCATGCATCCCATCGGAGCAGGAATTAACACAAAGCGACCCCGTGATGCAAAGCAACGCAGGGGACCACGTGCAGCCCTGAGCCCAAGTGCTGGGGGCCCTCAGCACTAAAGAAAACCCCCAGCAAGTTATCAGCACCCGGAAAAGATGTTGGGGAGGGGATTAAAAAAGAAGATACCCAAACTTTCAGAGCGTGCCTAACAACATTACTATGTATTTAGCCATGACTCCACCTACCCACCCTGCTGGGCAATGCAGCTGGGCAGGCCTTAAAGGGAAGATGATCTGAATATTGTTATGGACGTTCCATGTGCGTTTGCAACAGCCTGTGATGACTCTGCTCCGYGGAACAGCAGTGGCGCAGAGGTCCCCAGCTGCCTCCAGGGCGGATGTCAACCTCTCCCCACTGCAGTGACGCAAGCGCACGGAGATCAGAGAGGGAAACCTCAATTTTCGGCTGTCGCCAGCAGAAAGGTCCCACCGGCCCCTGGGCAGCTCCGGCCGCCGTGGAGCTGCTGTGGGGCAGGGATGATGCGACCGTGCAAGCCACAGGCTGTGTTAATAACCCTCAGGTATCGACAGTGCTTTGCGTCTTCCAGCACTCTGCAAATGTTAATTAATTAAGAGGGTTCCCATTTTGCCCTAGGACTGGAGGAAAAGCCTGCTTGGCCCCCCTGTGCACAACCAGTCCCGGTGCCCCATGCTTGCATTTCCCAGAGATTTTGCCTTTCTGCTAAGCAGGTTCTTTGCTCCGTGCGATTTTTGTCTCCGTTTTGCACGGGGGATCAATGCAACTCTCATAAATCTGACTAAGGGGCTGACACTCGGCTGCCTGCAGCCTGCCGGCCGCCACCACGGACTGCTGGTAATTGCTGCGCTAAGAGCTGGCAGCGATCGAGCCCCATAGGACCCGCAACCCGAAGCAAGCACCAGCAAATCRGGAGAAAACACCCTCCAGTTGCAATTACATTCAAATAAAGGTATTACATATACATATATAAATTACATATGGGCTCAGAGCATCCCTGCACATGGCTCTGCTCCCCAGCATTGTGGTCCGCGTTGCCTGTGCCCGAAACGGTGGAAAACAGTGATGCTGTGCAAGGGACTGCAGGTGCCAAAGGGAAGCGGAGCAAGTAACCGCCGCGGCAAGAGAGACGCGTGGCAAGCAAAGACTAAGSCTAAGAGGTCTCTCGGCGTTTTGTCTCACAGAGGTGCAAATGCTGCTCTGTTGCAGCTCTCCTGCAACTGTCTCCTGCTCTCCTGGAAGAGGCTTCYGTGGGGCTTCATTTGACATAAACGCTGTTCCAGGGCAAATACCCTGACAAGTCTGTAATTATCTGTTAAATATATATATAGATACATATATATATATATATCCTTATTTAAACATTGCTAGACTAGCAGCAACAGAATTGCTGTTTGCTCGGTGGTGCCGCGCTGCAGCCGGGCGGGAATGCGGCGGCACTCTGGAGCAATGAGCTCAGCCTAACTCCGGGATGCTCCGCACGGCAAGACCGGCTGCCCGACAGAGCCCATCCTGCCCGGCGCACACTGCCAGCGTGGCCGTCCCCGCTATAACATGGCTGCTCCATGTTCCGGGAATGAATGAATGCAGGATGGAATGGAACTTGGCTGGGAAATGGGCAATATGTTAGGAGAGGAAGAAAGAAAAAAAGGCGGGGGGGGGTGGTAAGGAAAAGCGCAGCCCCTGGGCTGCAGGTATTTCAGGTGAGCAGGGATAGGGAGGACGAGGACACGGGATAGGGAGGAAGAGGATGGCGAGACGCAGCGGGGAAGGTGCCAAACCCGCGGCTCCATCGCCCCCGCCACCGCGCGAAAGCCGAAGCGAACGCATGAGGATACGCGGAGAGCGGCGCAGCCCGCGCGCGGGGCCGGCCCGAACCGAGCCGCGCACCGAACCGAACCGAGCCGAACCGAACCGAGCCGAACCGAGCCGCGCACGCACCTTGCGGGCCGGGCTCCATGGCGCCGCCGGGGCCGCCCAGCTCGGCCAGGCGGCGGGCGGTGGCCGCCAGCTC